AAGGAGGATGTGGGATGAAAAAGTGAAAGGGGAGTGCAGAGTGCGTGAGCTGCTTTGCCAGAGAAGCAGAATGACAAGTGCTTCCCTCAAGGTGACACACACAAACTGCAGAACACACAAGTCCCACAGGTTGTTCTTCAACCCTGTGCAGACCTCCTGCAGGAGGCATTTTAACACTTAAGGACCGGTTAGGCCTCGTGCTATCTTTTCTTCTGATATGTCAGGGAGATCCCTCATTCAGTGCACCTTCAGCAATAAACCAAACCACAGATAACAACACACGATGAGGAGGAACACTGACAACAAACCACACAGAAGCCAATGAAGTTATACGACAAGAACGATACTGTATTATGAACGTAGGTGTGTGAATCATGAAGCAACAACACTCCACTTTAATGTAAGTATTAAAAAAAAACTCCTCCAGAGGGCATTCAGAGCAGCGGCTAAACTAGGGTCTTGTTTCCAATGGCTCCAACAAAGTTTCTCTTTCTTCCTTTCCCAAATAAAATGTTGCTGAAACAGAGGAAGACTAGCCTGGGGAAACTGAAGTCAGCCTGTGTGATTACCCACCTTAGGCTTACTCTGGCATTTTCACATCTCAGTGCACAATTGCTTTATTGTTTTCCCCTCTCTACAGACTGCACTGGAAATGTTGATCCAGCACAGCATTAGTGATTCCAGGGCAAAACAGGTACATGTATAAGGTGTATCATATCTATTCACCCGCCCCCAAAATCTTTCAAAAATAAGTAACACATCATAACCAGAGTAAGAAGATTGAAAAATTTTATTTGTATTTAGCACATACAGGGAAGATCAAAACAAATATTAAAAGATAGCATTTGTAAACAAATATATTTCACAAAAAGTTATACACTATCAAATTTGCTCTGAAAAAATTCATGGTTATAGCTGTTTATAAATGTATATATATCAAAATCAAGTTAAAAACTACTTCATTTTTAAAATATCCCAAATGAAGATTCATTCATTCCAACAACTTGAGACAGACCACAAATGTAAGGCCTAATTAAAACAAACATATGAGTAAAGATGGCACTATGATTTCCAGATTTAAAAAAATAAATCGGCAAGTGATCAAAATATCAGCCCAGCCTATTTAAAGACCTAGGTTTGTAAAATATACATTCAACTTTGCAAATGTCTAACTTAAAAAAATAGAGCTATTTCACTGGATTGTCCTCATGTTGTAGTGTACCAATCATGAGCTGTGTTTTTGAATCCACTCAGAGAAAAGTTATCAGTAGGTAGTTCCATGCGATTGTATAGTTCACTTCCATAATCACATTAAAAATAAGAAGAAAGCAGCACCCTTTTAGCAAGGATCATTTTTAATATTCTTGCCTTTATAGCAGCAGGCATGGTTTTGGGGAGATGCTATCAATATAATCAGTATGTCAAAAAAGGAATACACATACTCCATGAAGTTTATTATAGTGTTCTTTACC